CGCGCTCACCCGCAGGGGCCCGGCGCGCCCGGAGGGGCCGAGAACTACAAGTCCCGATGGACATTGCGGGGAGGCGGGACCCTGGATGCGCCGACATTTGCTGCGCCGTGGCCGCTGTGCATTTTGGGGGCTGTAGTCTTCCGGTCGACGGCGCCGGAGCGTGCAACGGTTGCTAGGTGACGACGCCCAAACTACACGCCAGAGCCACTCCGGCCCGGAGGTTTGCGGAGGTCCCCGCGAAGCGAATTGGGGGACCCACTGCTATTCCCGAGTCCCCTCGCACCAGCCGGGCCTTGGCAGAGTCACACAAAGCCCGCCGACAGGTACGGGGGAAGGGAAGCAGATGGGACCCGAAGGGAGGGCGAGGCGTGTTCCCTCAGCAGCAGCACCTTCTACCTCCAGCTTCCTTCGACATGCAGGCCAGTTCTCATCTTCCTTGCTTCCCATCTTCTTGTCACTAACCACTTCTTCCCAGTTTTTGATCCTATTCCTAGTTCCTTGATTAAAGTTAACGGTGTTTGTTTGTTTTTTTAATGACCATAATAAATGGTATTCACCACTTCCTCGATAGTGCACTAGTTTGGATCCATAAAAAAATCAGCAAAATCGAAGAACCTATAATATGCCAGGTAGACAGCTAAAAATAGGTATGCGGCCTCACTGTCAACTCCCGCTGGTACCTGAAGAAACTGAGGCCGGAAAGGCTGCGTTACTCTGGCCGTGGGAGGGGCACCCTCTCCCAGAAGACTTGCATTTCCCCTGCCCCCACCTAGCACCACTTCGGCGTCTGGCAATGTGCAGATTTAGGGTTCAGGAGAGGGAAGGAACTCTCCCTTGATGGAGAGCTGCTTCTCCACTGCTCGTGGTATCACTGGTTCTGGACTCTCCAACCCCTCTGTTCCCGTAAAGTCAGTGTGAACCTGGGCACAGGCAGCAGTCTGAGATTGCCCTGTGTGTCGTTGAGGACCTGACTCATCTTCCCCATTCCCTCCCAAGTCCCATTTAGGGGACTGATGGTCCACTAAAGAGCAACCCCCCCCCCGCCCCGAGTTGCCTCTTATCTCCAATTCCTTTACACTCCCCTCTCTTGAGTGGGCTCCAATCAGATTTTCACCCAGCCCCTCCTCCAAGGCTCTTTATCTAAATCATCCTTGACCCTAATGTTGCTAAACCCAGTGATGAGAGCTCAACCCCACCTCATCCAGCAGCAGATGACCCAGCTGAGTGCTCCTTTCTGGACACACCATCCTTACTTGGCTGGAGCAGATAGCACCCTCTGCCTCCTCCCATGGCTGCTCCTTCTCAGTCTTCTTGGCTGGCGCCTCCTATGCTCCTAACTCTAGACCTCCTAACACTGGAGTCCCAAGACTCAGTCCTTGGAAGCCCCCCTCTCCAGCCACTCCCTGGGTGACTTCCCACCACCACATGGTTCAATGAACAACCATCTTCTCCTTACGTTTCCAAAACCTACATCTCCAGCCTGAACCTTGCCCTGAGAGTCCAGGTCCCTCTCCCTGTTCTTTGCCAGTTTGATGTCCAACAACCCCTAAACAAAATGTGTCCAGCTGCACTCCTAGTCCCCCCCATAAATCCTGCTCCTCCCCAGCTGCGGCTTCCAGCCTGAGAGCTCGTGTAGATACTTGGTGGACCGTTCTCTACAGGTCTGTCGTTGGTCTGCTCCAAGGCTGGGACTGTTGTTGCTACTCAGAATCTCCCTTCTATGCTTCCCAGTTTGAAACTGTGCTTGGGGCGAAGGCTGACCTCAGGAAACAGGGTGTATCAGTTAGGATGAGGTTCAGCTGCACACAGTGAAAAATTTCAATACCATGGTGGCCCAAACAAGATTATTCATGTTTCCATAAAATAGGTCCATGGGGAGGCAGTCTTGGGAGATACAGCACCCCCAAAAGTCGTCAGGGACCTGGGCTATTCTAGCTTGCTCTTCTGCCACCTTTAGCAGGTCCCCTCCCAGTCCAGGATTGCTGCGTAAATTCCTGCCATTACCTCCTGAGTCCAGGCAGCAGGATGAAAAAGAGAAGAAGGATAGGCCCCTTTCTTTCAAGGAGATTTTCTGGAAGTCTCGAACTCTTCTACCTCTGGACATACCCAGATGGCCAGGAAGACTAGGAAATGTCATCTTTCGATTGGGCAGCAATAGACCCAACTAAAAATTGAGGGCTTGTTACTCAGGAGGAAAGGAAGAGTGGAGATTGAAAAGCAACCAGCAAAACCTGCCACATGGGTCTGTACTTTAAGCAAAGCCATCAGAGCATGACTTAGCAGAAAGCCTTAGGAGACTAGCTTTAATCAAAATAAAAAGCCAGGAAAAGAATAAATTTTAATTAACACACATTTGGGAATCTGTGTAGATGAAGCCTCTCTAGTGGTTGAGCGTGTTGAACTGGTTTGTGTCTGATGGAATTTAAATCTCCTCATATAATCTCGTTTCTGTCTATAAAGGATTTGCTAAGAAAAGAAGCTTTGGTCCAGCTCACCTTTAGAGTTTCCTTAAACATGAGACAGTCAAGTCCTGATTAGTGGAGTTAAAATCAATATTTAAAAAAAAACAATAAGCTTGGAGATTAAATCTCACTTCCCACCTATGTGGTTTTACACCATTAAAATGAAGCTGAGGTGCTAAAAACACACATCAGAATGGGATGAACTTCAATTCCTGTTTCTCCCCAGAGCCATGACTATTTTGACTAAGATCATGGGTTCATTTCCGTGGGAATGCAGAACTCGAGTGCCCCTTCCCAGTGTCCACCATCACGGGCAGATCCCTGTGCCGGGTGTGACCCGTGTAGGGCCTTCTGTCCCAACACTGCAGGGAGCGGGGTTCAAGCCCAGCCCCCACGGCCCCTCTCTGCCTCTTCCACAGGCCTGTCTACTCACTGCTTCTGGTCCCTTCCATCCAGGCCCCTCTCGATGGCGGGAGACATGGGCTGCCCTCTTGCTTCTCCTTGACTTGCACCATCACCAAAGGGCCCCAAGGATCATCCATTCTTCAGAATGTTCCAGCTCCAGTACAGGAGGGGAGGGCAGAGAAGCCCTCCCGCCCCGGGTGCAGCTCCCACCGTGCACACACGCGTGCGCGCACACACACACACACACTCGCAAACATGCACACACGCACACACGCACATTATCCACTCTCACCGCGTGCAGCAGGTGCAGGAGGCTTCCTCTGGGCAGAGCCACTTTCAGAGCAGATGCTGGGAGGTGGCTCGAGGCCGGGCCCCATACCAGGGCAGCACCCTGCATGACCGCAGTGCGTTGGGGAAGAGGAGAAAAAACTCCATCCTTAACACTGTTTCCATAAAAACAGACTTTTTGCCTCGGTTCAGGGTTTTCCTTGTGAGCCCTGGAGTGCATGACTGTTACTTCCTTTTAGCATCTTGGGTGGGGGGTGCCTCTCTCACACAGTACGGCTTGCCCCTGAGATGTTATCTGGATCCCGTGGAGTGGGTGCGGGGAGGACTTTGGAACCCAGCCTGGGCCCCAGGGGCTCCCACAGGCAGAAAACCCTCCTTGGGGATGAGAAGGCTGACTTCCCACCCCGACCTCTGGCTCAGGGAAGATCCGTTCTCTTCCATGTTAACTTGGGGCATTTATTATTCTCCAATTAAATGAGATGATGAAACTGAACTCTGTTGACCTCTAGGATCTGTGGAAGCCAAGGCTTAGAAAAGCACAGGATCTTCGGGTAGGTCTGTCTCTTTCAGGTTGAAATACAAGCGCCCTTTAGGGTACTTGATCCTTTTGTGTATTTTTATAGTTTTTAATTAATTCCACAGACAATTTTGTGCCAGCTCTGGGGTAGGGGTGGGGAATCAGAGGTGGGGAGGCGGGGCCCCGCACCAGGGGCCCCCAGTGGTGTCAGGGGAGTTTGGACAACTTCTAAGGAGGCACAGAGAAGCTAAGAGAGGAGGAAGGAAGGCTTCGCAGGTCGTGATATTTGAATCAAGTGTTTAGGGATGCCTAGGAGCTCAGCAGGGAGAGGAGCAGGGTGAGTATTCGAGGTTCCGGAGACATGTGTGCTGCAGCTTCCGAACCAGTGAGAAGCCCAGCGGGCAGGCAGGCGGGCCGCAGGGCAGGCGGGTGGACAAAGGGGGCCCAGGGGCTGCGGCCCCGGGGTCGGCGTGCTGAGGAGGCCCCCCGGGTCCTGCAGCAGCCAAGAACCTCGGGGGTGTGCTGGTGATGGCTGGAGTGGAAGGAGGCTCCGCGGACCAGAGACCGCCCCTCCCACAGCCTTCCCCACGTCAGAAGGCGGCACCGTCACCTGCCCCCCACAACAAGGCCGGGCCGGGGTCCTGGTGGTGCCCGCCGCTGGCTTGCTCATACCAGCAGCTCACACACACTTTGGGGCGAGAACTGATATACAAATGGGAAGTCTCAGGCACCCGCGTGAGCCACTGTGGGTCAGCAGTCAGCCTGGTTTCTGCAGAACCCATCTTTGAAGCCACTGACTCTCCTGAGACTTGGTCCCCAGGGCCAGCCCTCCGCACCAGGGCTTCAAGCCAGTTTCAGTGCCATTTCCAAGTTCCAAGAGGGCTTTCTTCTGGCCTCATTCAGGAGAAGCTCCTGCCGGCCTTTGTGTCCGTGCACAGCCAGGGCTGGGCCCCAGTCAGGCCTCCGTGGCTGGGTGGTGCAGGGGCCCAGGTGTGCAGCCACAGAGGCATGGGGATGCAGACCCTGGGCTGACAGGCAGGCGGCTGCGTTGCTTGCTCTCCTGTCTCTGACCAGGGCAGGAGTCAGAGCCTCCAGCAAATCCTCGGGGAACGGGGACATGCCAGGTGCAGAGCGCACTCCTCCTAGAACCTCTGTCCCCTGTGCTCTGGCGCCCTTGGCCTGCCGCCCGCTGTCACCTTCCTGGAAAACCTCCGGCTTCCCAGTCCCAGGCCTGCCCGTTTCTGGGCTCGCTCCTCGGACCGGGTGCAGGGCCCCCCATCTGCACAGCCGACACTCTTCCAGGTTGGAGCCGGGTGCCCGAAGCTACCCTGCACCCCGCCCTCCCCGCGCAGAAGCACGCGGGCGCCCTGGGGCCTGTCCGTCCAGGCTGCCCTTGGGTTTTCCTCCTGCTTTCTAACCGTCTCTGTTTCTGCTCTCTGGGAGGGTTCCTCAGCTCCATCCTCTGCCTCTTCTATTTCTATCCTCAGTTCTGCTGTCGTTTTCTAATTTCCAAGAACTCCCCCTTTCCTGCAGGTGTCTGCCAGCTGCCATCCCTCTCACCATCCCTCGGAGGCGGTGCAGTCGTCTGTTTCTGGGTTTTTCCTGCTGCATATTGTCTGCTTCCTCTTGCTTCCTTTTTGCTGGTTTTTGTTTCTGGGCTTTGTGTGAGAGGCTCTCTGCGGTGTCTGGTGGCATTGGGCTCTCGTTGTCTTCACAGAGATGGGGGGTGGGGACTCGGCCAATGGACTGTGATTCGCTGAGACTGGCCATCTCCCTGGTGACCCCAGTGTCAGTGTATGTAGCTTTTGTCTTGTCTCTCAGTCTCAGCCTGGAGGGTCCAGGTCTGGGTGCTGCTGTCCAGAGCCAGTGCAGCTTGTGGGGTAAAGAAGAGGTGCCCTCGCCGTCCCCAGGGCCCTAGGCCTGGCTTTGCCAATGGCCGGTGCCCAGGAGGGCCAGAGCGTGGTGACCCAGGGGAACTAGACCAAGGGGGGGGGGAGGGGGCCCCGGGGACCTGGCCACCAGCTCTGAGGACAATTTAGGGGTCACCTATTAGAACCAGTTCCTGAGGTCCCAGGCACCCCCCAGGCAGCTTCTCCAGGGTCTGCCAAAGAAGGGCTCTGAGCACACCAGTCTCCTCGGGCTGTTTCTGGAACGTTCAGGCCTGGCCCTTACTGGCCGTGCAGCTCTCTGGGTGCTGGTGACCTCGTCTTTAACATGGGGGAGGTTGAGCCTGGCGACCCAGGGGTCCTCGTTGCCTCAAACTTTTGTGATTAGGTCCCCCCGTCCCTGTGAGCCGGGCCTGGTCGGTGGCCAGTCACCAAAGCCCAGCTGGGCTGAGGGGCTCTCAGAGGCCGACTCACAAGGTGCCTCCCCTCTCCGGGCTTGCCCCTCCTAGGGGCCATCCCCACCCGCGCACAGTGTAGGGCTTGGGGGCAGGTGGGGGCAGCCCGGGAGTCTCCAGAGGGCATGGCGGAGAGGCCCGGGGCTGCGGGTGAGTGGGAGCCTGGGGGCGGACTCCCCAGGCCTGGGCCACAGGCAGCAGAGTCCGGTGGGGACGCAGTCCAGGAGGCGGGCCTGGGCTTACCGCAGCCAGGGCCCCCGCTTCCCTCCAACAGTGCACGCCACACAAGGTCCCGGGCTCCCCGGTGGGCTTCCTGTCAGTTTGGTGAGGGTCCTTCATCGCCTGCCGATCTGACTGCCCAAGGGGCCTGGGGGGCGTGACCTGCCACGGTTTGCTTTTAGGGCCCCGCCTGGGAAGATGGCCTGCTATGGGAAGTGCATTGAAACTGTGATCAAGCAACTGGACCAGTTTAAACCTGAGAAGGACAGTCCTGAGCAGTTCCTGGAGACTGTGTCCACCTCCCTGCAGGTAGGGCTGGCGCGGTGGCCCCGGGCCGGTGGGGAGGCTGCGGCAGCGGCGCCTGTCCTGGGCTGCCGCATCTCTGGGAAGCAGCTTCGATACGCCCGCATCAACTGCTGCCCTTCCTGCTGACGGGGGGCCGAGGCGAGGCTCTCCCAGCCAAAGGCCCACGTCCCAGCGTCACTGAGCCACGAGGGTGCTGGCAGTGTTTCCGCAGGAGCCCTTCAGGCAGAGGCCTCTCGGCCTCGGGAGGCCTTCCTGGCGCCCAGAACGTGCATCAGGCTCCTCTCGTGAGAAGTCGCCCCGTCGCTGGGGATGCGCCTACGTGGTCGCACCAGCCGCCACTGAAAGCAGACGTGTCAGCCTGGACGCGCCTCCCTCCCCTCCCTCCCCTCTGTGTGAGGCGCAGGGGCTGGTCCATGGCAGCGAGGCCCACACCTGGAAGGGGACTCAGCCCTTGTTTCTGCGCCCCGGGGGGTCCCTGTCCTTCTGTCCCACTTCAAGCGCAGAGGGACCCTGAGCTGAAGGCCCTGGGACCGGAGCAGAGCGCCGCCCTCTCAGGCCTGTCCTGCTCTAACACCTGAGAGGCCCCCTGTGACCTGACCCGCATCCGTCTGTCTGTCCGTCCACCCACCATCGAAGGCAGGTGTCCTGGGAGCAGGAGCATGCAGCGCAGGGGTCCCGCTTTCAAGATTCGTGGTGTGGGCCCCACCGGGGCATCCAGAGGAGGCCAAGTACACCCAGGGAAGCGCTCGGGGGCTGCCCACTGGCCTGCTGCCCCCCAGCGCGCCTGACCCGCACCCGCTGGAGGGAGGGGCTGCTGTCACCAATGTGTTGGTTGCAGGATGTTCACCTTTAATTGCCAGCTGCAGCCTTCCCCTTGCTTTTGTTTAAGAGGGCCTGTGGGAGCAGCTTTGCTGGCCCCCAGGGACGTGGCTGTGGTCAGGCCCCACCCCAGCCCCCCATTACCTGGAGGGTGTGGCCTCTGCTGTGCCCTCTGGCCACAGATGGACCCACCTTCCCTTCCTCCTTCAGCTGCCACCTCGTGGTTCGGTAGCTGAAAGACCTAGCAGGGACGGGGTGGGCGGTCACTGTCCTGTGGAGGGGCCGGGGCCCTGGGCCATGCACACCGAGGCTGGAGGGTTCTGGAAACCAAAGCCTCATGTGTGGGAGAAAGCCGGGACCATTGGCCCAGTCCCTGCTCCCCAGTGTCGCTCAGGAAAGGCTGTCTCTGCCAGTGGACCCCGGCAGTCAGCAAGGACTGGGGACTGGGGGACTCCGGTGCGGCACTCCCCTCCCCCACTCCTCTGCACCCCACTTCTCATACTCTTCCCTGAGACCCTAAGTGTTTGGGGGAAATGACGAACACAGCCAAGGGCCGAGCCCATCCACAGTGCTTCTCTTTCCCCCTCAGACTGGGCTTGCCCAGCTCAGTGCACCCCAACCCCTGCTGGCCCGCCTGCTCCCCACCTGCAGCCTGGCCCCTTTGGCTGCTCCCTCTGTCTGTCCCACCTCTCTCCCCTCAGTGGGTCTTTTCCACTTTCCCAACAGCCACAAGTGCTGTTAGTTCTCCCAACCTGAAGAAACAAAGAAGCCTCTCAGCTCCCCTCCCTGCGTCGCCCGCGGTTTGGCCCAGCTCAGCCCCCGAGCTGGTCCCCCAGCCCAGGGGGAAGGGGCTGCGGGGAGGGTGGGCGGGGAACGAGAGGGGGCTTGTGCAAGAGGCCAGGGGAAAGCAGAGGTGGGTAGGGGCCTGGAAACAGCAGCCCAGGTCCCTGCTGGAAGGCAGCAGTGGCCAAGTCCCAGAAAGCCTGTTTCACTTTCTAGCTGATTGTGTCAGAGACAACCTGGGCTCAGGAAATAGATTTTTAAATTTTTTTAAATACCTGATGTAGTGACATCAAAGATCCAAAACCCAAACGGTTCAGAATGGTGTCCATGGGGGTGCCCCCCACCGCGGCCCTCCCAGAGGACACGCAGAGACCAGCACCCTGCGTTTCCCTCCCCGGGACTGCCTGGGCCTTGCTTGCACAGGCAGCGGATCCGGCAAAAAGCGTGTCTAAACTATATAAATTATATGCATCAAAGTTGTATGTAATTATATTTAATTTTTGAAACATTTTACTAGGTGGGAGCACATTGTGACACAGTCCTGCACTTCGCATTTTTCACTTCGAAAGATTTCATGGGAATTATTCCATGTTCTTATCTTAAAGCTTAACTGTCATAACCATCCCTTGGTGGGTTCGCAGATGTTTCCAGTCCTTTACTGTCACAAACTGGCCCACTTGTCCCTCCACACCTGGGCAGGTGCGCCTCGGGTCAAGTCCCAGAGTACTGGCCCTCGTGATTTCACAAGATTGCCAGTTAACCCTTGAGGGAGGTCTACATACTGACAGGCTCCCCGGCAGGTGAGGGGCGCTTTCTCCCCGTGTAGCCTGCTGGCGTGGGGAGCTAGCAAGCGTTTTTAATCCTTGACAATCAAATAGGTGGAAGAGCGTTTGATGTGGTTATAATCAGCATTTCCCTTGTTATATTTTCACACATTTCGAAGCAGTATATATTTCTTTTTCTGAACTGTCTGCTTGGACACTTATCTGTTAGGAAACAGTGTTTGGCTATAACAACACCAGAAAAGCAGTGGCTCAAAGAAATTAGAGGTAATTTTGCTCACATAGGAAGTAGTCTGCACACAGGGAGTCCAGGGTGGGTTCACCCTTTGCCTCGTAGTCCCAAAATGGCTGGCCTACCTCCAGCGCTGCATCTCCTTCCCAGGTGAGAAGGGGAGAAAGGCAAACAGCATAAGGCAGGTGCCAGCTGAATCTGCCTAGCTTTCAAGGAGCTTTCTTGGAGGCCACACCTAGGAACTGCCACTACATTTCATTGATGAGAGGCATGTGCCACATGGTCCATCAGCAGGGGGGCAGAGGAAGTTTCAGCTGGGCACATCACCTTCCCCAACATGACAGCATTCTTCAGTTAGGCAGGAAGGAAGGGAGAAGGGATTGTGTGGGCACCTGGCAAACTCAGTTTCCTATTTTCCTACTTTTCTAACTGACTTCAGTCTTTGCACTGCTGGTGAGCAGGAGCCCCTAGGTACTGGCGATATGAGTTACAAATCTGTGTTGTGGTAAAACCAGCGTCCAGGTCCCCTCCCTGCCCTGGACCAGCTCTGCCCTGACCCTGTGGTTCCAGCAGACAAGCTTGGTCTGGGAACTCAGTGACTCCTGTAGGAGGCACTACTGGTTACCGAAAGCTGGCAGCTTTGTGGTCTTCTGGTGCCCCTGTCCACAGGCCCAGCCCCTCCCCAGGACTTCCCATGAGGCCCTTATCAGGTGCTTGCTGCTCTGCCTGGGCCTGGCCAGATCCCCAGACTCAGGAGCCCTGAATTTGACCAAGGCCCAAG